GTTGTATGTCATAGTTGCACATCCTTCTAGTTGTTGTATGTGGGACGCGGCCTCAGCATGGCCGGAGAAGCGGTGCGTCGGTGCACTCCCGGGATCCGAACCCGGGCCGCCAGTAGCAGAGCACACGCACTTAACTGCTAAGCCACAGGGCTGGCCCTAATTGGTGTCTTTTAATCCTGGACTTTTAAAATGTACATAGTATATAGACCATTTACATTTATCATAATTATTGATACATGTTAGGGCTTAAGTCTGCTATTTTATTTTTTGTTTTCTCTGTTTTTTTGCTGTTCTGTTTTCTTTTTCCTGTAGCCTATGGATTACTTGAACATTTTTTAGAATTCCATTTTGATTTATCTATAGTGGTTTTGCATGTATCACTTTGAATAGCTTTTTTAGCAGTTGCTCTGTTGCTCTAGGTATTACATTATATATACATAACTTATAGTCTATTGATGTTGTCATTTTACTAGTGCAAGTGAAGTTAGAAACCTTACCTCCATTTATGTTCCTTTATCTTCCCCTGTTTATAATTGTCTTAAATATTTCTTCTACATATATTTAGAACTACATCAGATTGTGTTATAATTTTTGCTTCAAACATAATTTGGAGGAGATAGAAAGTCTATTGTATTTATTCATATTTTTGCTTACTATATTCTTTCTTACTTCCTGAGGCTCCTCCTGGGACTTCTTTCCTTGGAAAGTTCCAAGTTTCCGTCTTTTATCACTTCCTTTCTGTTTAGAGAACTTCCTTTCTGTTTAGAGAACTTCCTTTATCCATTCTTTTAGGGTGATAGGTCAGCTGGCAACAGATTCTCTCACATTTCCTTCAATGTGAGAATGTGTCGATTTCCACTTCATTCCTGAAGAATAGTTTTGTTAGTTATAAGATTCTGGGTAAATAATTCTTTTAGTACCGCAAAAATATTCTGCCACTTCCTTCTGACTTCTGTGGTTTCTGATGAGAAATATGTTGACGTTTGAATTAGAATGTTTTTCCCCTATAGTGGTGTTTTCTTGGGCTGCTTTCCAGATTTTTTCTTTTCTTTAGTTTTTAGAATTTTAATTATGATATGTCTTATACTGGATTTTTTTAAATTTATCATGTTTGGCATTTTCTCAGCTTATTGAATTTATAGATTTAATGTCTCTTGCCAAACTTGGGACATTTTTAGCTATGATTTCTTCTAGTACTGTTTCAGCCCCTCCCTCTTTTCTCCTTGTAAGACTGTGAAGACTCAAATGTTAGATCTTTTATGTTCCACAGGTCTGTGAAGCTGTGTTCGTTTTTCTTTCAGTCTATTTTCTCTCTGTTATTCAGGCCGTATCATTTCTGTTTTTCTATGTCTCTGTTCACTGATCCTTTCCTCTGTCCCCTGCTGTTGAGCCTGTTCTGTGATTTTTTTAATTTTGGTTATTGTATTTTCCATTCTAAAATTTCCGCTTGGTTCCTCTTTTATCTTCTATTTCTCTGCCAAGACTTTCTATTTTGTTGAGACTTTGGTTTTTCATTTGATTTCAGTGTGTTCATAACTGCTCACTGAAACATTTTTATCATGGCTGCTTTCAATCTTTGTCATGTAATTCTAACATCTCTGTCATCTTGGTGTTGGCATCTATTGATTGTCTTTTTTTCATTTCGTGTGAGATTTTCTTGGTTCTGTGTATGACAAGTTATTTTTGATGAAACCTGAACATTTCTCTACTATGTCATTTAAAACTTCTGTTTTAGCCGGCTTCTTGTGACGCTACTCTGGTAGGGCAAGAGGCTATAGCCACTTCATTACTGCCAGGTGGGAGGTGAAGTCCAGGTTCACCACTCGGCCTCTTTTAACACAAGGTGGGGGGCTCCTCCTTACTGCTAGATAGGGGTGGATGTCTAGGCTTCCCATGTGGTCTCTGCTGACGTTGCAGGGTGGGAGCTTGTTACCAGCCAGCAGGGATGAGAGTCCTGGCTCCCTACTTCGCCTTCTCTGACACCACCTTGGTAGAGTATTGAGGTGCCTTATTACAGTCTCGGGAAAGTGGAAGTCTAGGCTCCCCACTTGGCCTTTGCTGGCATCGGTGGGGGGTGAGGCCACAGTATTTTCTGTAATGTTTGGCTAGAGTAGAGCGGTTATTGTCTGAAAGTTTTCTGTCTGCTAGGCTTTCCCTTTCCTCTTCCTTTGGCTTTTGTTGGACCTTTTTTTGATGTGCATCCATTGGCGTTCCTGGGTCACTAGCTTCTTCAAGCTCCAAATCTGGGATATATGAAGAAAAAAGAAAACCCAGGGAACCAACTATTGTGCTGTTCCCCAGGTCCCAAGGTCCCTAGCTGGCCTACCTTTTCTCCACCTTTCAGAGTCCTTATGTTTGTTTTATGTATAATGTCCAGGGTTTTTAGTTATCCTTTGTGGGATGAGTAAGGAAAAGTGCGCCGTCTTCCCAGACGTGAGGTCCTGGTTGACGTTTAAAAAGAAAATTTATTGACTTACTGCCTCTTGAATGTTTCAGATTCCATTTGGAAATACCCAAATTTAAGAATTGTTGTAGTGTCTGGAAAACTTACTTGATTTTTTTCAATTTGTAATAAAAAACTAAAAATATTTTGCATGCTATAAATGTTTCAGAATTAAATAATATTGGAGGATTCTGTTGTAGGGGACAAAAAACTTTTTTTGATCTTTTAATTTCAAAAATGGGAAAAACAAGTTCTATTTCTTAGACATTAAATAAGCGATCTCTTTGTTTTTAGCTTGTAGTTGCAACAACATGTATGGGAATAAACCATCCAATATTTTCTCGTAAAATTTTTGATTTTTGTATTGTGGATGAAGCCTCTCAAATTAGCCAACCAATTTGCCTAGGACCACTTTTTTTTTCACGGAGATTTGTGTTGGTGGGGGATCATCAGCAGCTTCCTCCCCTGGTGCTAAACCGTGAAGCAAGGTAAGCAGACATTGAAGTTCTAATTATTTATTTATTTATTTATTTTTTGGTGAGGAGGACCAGCCCTGAGCTAACATCCAATGCCAATCCTCCTCTTTTTTTTTTGCTGAGGAAGACTGGCCCTGGGCTAACATCCGTGCCCATCTTCCTCTACTTTATATTGGGAGGCCACCACAGCATGGCTTGACAAGCGGTGTGTCGGTGCGTGCCCGGGATCCAAACCAGCGAACCCACGGCCGCCGCAGCGGAGTGTGCACACTTAACCGCTTGCGCCACCGGGCTGGCCCCTGAAGTTCTAATTTTAACCTAGATTCTTTTTAAGGGACAGTTTCAGTACACTGATAAGCCTGAATTTCCTTTGTTGACAGAGCTCTTGGCATGAGTGAAAGCTTATTCAAGAGGCTGGAGCAGAATAAGAATGCTGTTGTACAGTTAACTGTGCAGTACAGAATGAACAGGTATTCATAACAGTGTTATCTACAAGTGATTTTCATGTTTGTTTTCATCTACCAAAACTAAAATTATTTTTGCAATTCCCTTAGTAAAATTATGTCCTTAAGTAATAAACTGACATATGAAGGAAAGCTGGAGTGTGGATCAGAAAAAGTAGCCAATGCAGTGATAAACCTACCTAACTTTAAAGATGTAAAGCTGGAAATGGAGTTTTATGCTGATTATTCTGAAAATCCTTGGCTGATTGGAGTATTTGAGCCGAACAATCCTGTTTGTTTTCTTAATACGGACAAGGTAAAAAAAAACAGCACACAACATTTTCTTTGGTTTTTCTTCCTTTTTCCTATTATTTAAATTCCTCAGCTTTCAGTAGTGCACACTTCATTCGAGCTTATCAGTTAAAACTAGTGTACTTCTTGTACTTCAACACAAAAGAATCTTTTGTTTCTATAGACCCAATATATTTAGGAGGAGTTTAATTCTGGGGATTGATAGATGTCAAAATTGACTTTTGAAGTAGGAAAGCTAGAAAGTAAACTCAAGTGTTCCCAGAAAAGAAAATTAGCACTGATACTATCAAAGGGCTGGGTTTACAAATGGACTGAGGACATGATAAATTGATGTCCTTTTAAAGACCTTTTTTAAAAAGACTTTATTTTCTAGAGCAGTTGTAGGTTCACAGCAAAACTGAGCTGGAAGTACAGAGATTTTCCGTATACCGCCTGCCCCCACATATGCACATAAAGACCTCTTTACAAACTTGTCATTAAACAAAAATCTTCATAAGGACTTTTTTTTTTTTAAAGATTTTATTTATTTATTTTTTTCCCCAAAGCCCCGGTAGATAGTTGTATATCATAGCTGCACTTCCTTCTAGTTGCTGTATGTGGGACACGGCCTCAGCATGGCCGGAGAAGCGGTGTGCCAGTGTGCGCCCAGGATCCAAACCCCGGCCGCCAGCAGCGGGAGCGCACGCACTTAACTGCTAAGCCACGGGGCCGGCCCTTCATAAGGACTTTAAATGACTTGATTCTTATTTCTAGAAACTAAGAACAAAGTTTTGACCCTGTGTTCCTACAATTTGTTTTATATAGTGCTTCTCAGCATTCATTTGAAAGTCTTTACATAGTTCAAATAAAAATAGAGTGAAAAAATAATTACTCTAAAATAATTATATCTTTTGTTATTCAGGTAGGTAGAATCAGCTGTTTGTTAAAAATAAGGCCTCTCCATGTGTACCATGATGGAATTTTCATTCTCTTGGATATTGCCCTTAGCATTTCAGGGTCAAGAATTAATACCTAGGGGCAGGTGGGCTCTGCCCCTAGGGTTTATTCAGATAAACTGATTTCACAAATGACTGCTTTTATAAACCACAATTCCAATTTATTTGTTATAATTTACAGTTATTTACCTTACCAATGGTTGCTCAGATTCTTTATTTTTGCTACTCAGGTTTCTTCTTTCTTAGCGTCAGAATTCCAAATAAGTTGTATTAAAAATAATCAAGGGAGGCCGTCCCTGTGGCGTGGCGGTTAGGTGCACACACTCTGCTGCTGGATGCCCGGGTACAGATCCCAGGCGTGCACTGACACACCGATTATCAGCCCATGCTGTGACGGTGTCCCATATAGAGTGGAGGAAGATGGGCATGGATGTTGGCTCAGCGCCAGTCTTCCTCAGCAAAAAGAGGATTGGCATGGATGTTAGCTCAGGGCTGATCTTCCTCACACACACACACACACACACACACACACACTAAATAAATAAAAAATAATCAAGGTTACTTAGGGATGATGTAGGAGCAAAATAGTCCTTGGAGAGTTTTACCAGGTGTGGTAGAACTTGAGGAACTTTATCTGCTCCATTATTTGTATAAAAGGCAACAGGGAAATGGAAAGAGCATAGATACTAGAGCCACATCTAAGTTTGAATCCTGGTGCCATGATTTATTGTGAGGCCTTGGGCAAGTTACTTATCTTTTCCGGCCTTTGATTCCTGTAAAATGGGAGATAACAAAGTAAAGTATGTGAAGCCCAGTGTGTGGTCGGCTTTCTTAGAGATTTTAGTCTGTACTGTGGCATGGTTACGATGAGTGGCCTCTGGGTAGCTTTCTGAAAATGACTAATGTTCATTTTTGTCAATTCTTTTACCTTCAAATTTTAAGATGAAGATATTTTTCATCTGTCTTCACAACTGCTAGTACAGTTTCTGTGGCTACCTGTGTACCGACAGTGTTCTTAACTTGAGAGATTGTTTTATAAGCAGGATGCATATTTTTCTGTTTAGGTTCCAGCACCAGAACAAGTTGAAAAGGGTGGTGTGAGCAATATAACAGAAGCCAGACTCATAGTTTCCCTGACCTCAATCTTCATTAAGGTAATTTAGAGTTTAATTTTGAAGGCTAATTAATATTAAGGTGCAGAGTAATAGAATGTTAGAATGCGAGGAACTTAGATCTAGCATTAACCCTTGTTTATTAAGATAAGAGGACTGTAGCCTGATTGTTTTTGTTTTATTTTGAGAAAATTTATCTAAGACAGGTAATTTTTTTTATAAGGCATTTTGGGTTTCCGTTTAGGATAACTTTTTGTAACATCATATAATTCTGATTGTATCACTGTAGTGCTGTAGTCAGTACGAGTGGGGATTGGAAACTTCAGTGTAAGAGATAGCGAAAAGTGAAATGTATTTCTTTGTACTTTTTTTTGTATAGCAGCACTGTCCTAGTGGCATGCGAACCGTACTGCCATGAACCTCTAAAAATCAAGGTAGCAATGTTTGAGGAAGTTATTTCATTCAGGAAATATGGATGTAGATTTACAGCAAATTCAATAATTGTGTTTACTCCTTGCAATAGGAACATCTGTTATAAACATAGTCAGGCATATTATGTAAACATTTAACAAATTTAGTTAAGTTAAAATAACAAAAATCAGGGTTTTTCATTTTAAATTGTGTACTTTTCTGTTTAGGCTGGATGTAATCCCTCTGCTATTGGTATCATTGCACCATACAGGCAGCAGTTAAAGATCATCAACGATTTATTGGCGCATTCTTCTCTCGGGATGGTCGAAGTTAATACGGTAGACAAATACCAAGGAAGAGACAAAAGTATCATTCTAGTATCTTTTGTTAGAAGTAATAAAGATGGAACTGTGAGTTAGTTGTATTTTCTGCTGATTTATTTGAGACATTTTTTCCTCTTTTTTTTTTTTAAATTGTAGTAAGAAACATATAACATAAAATTTACCATCTTAACTATTTTTAAGTGTACAGTTCATTAGTGTTAAGTATACTCACAGTATTGTACAGCAGATCTCCAGAACTTTTTCATTTGCAAAATCGAAACTCTATACCCATGAATGACAATTCTCCAATTCCCTCTCCCTCCAGCTCCTGTCAGCCACCATTCTGCTTTCTGTCTCTCTGAATTTGACTACTCTACATACCTCATATAAGTAGAATCATACAGTAATTGTCTTTTGTAACTGGCTCATTTCCCTTGGCATAATGTCTCCAAGGTTCATCCATGTTATAACGTGACAGGATTTCCTTCCCTTTAAAGGCTGAATAATATTTCATTGCTTGTATATACCATATTTTGTTTATCCATTCATCCATCAATGGACATTTGGGTTGCTTCCACCTCTTGACTATTGCGTTTGGGGCATTTTAAACATAAAGGCTTTCTTAGATATACTTCCCAATTTATAGGTAATTTCAGGTTTGGGGTTGTTTTTTCATTTGTTACCTCTCCTTAATTCATTTTTCTTGACTATGTGATACCTTCATATGGTTTTAAAAATATACATAGTAAAAAATCTCCCTTCGGGCCGGCCCTGTGGCTTGGTGGTTAAGTGCGCGCGCTGCAATGCTGGTGGCCAGGGTTCGGATCCCGGGTGCGCATCTAGCACCACTTCTCCGTCCATCCTGAGGTCGAGTCCCACATACAGCAACTAGAAGGATGTGCAGCTATGACATACAACTATCTACTGGGGCTTTGGGCAGAAAAAATAAAATAAATAAAATCTTTAAAAAAAAAAAAAAAAATCTCCCTTCTATCCCGTTCGTCTTCTACTCAGTTCTTACCCTCACAGATAATTACATTTTTGGCTTTTTTTTTGGCAACCTTCTAGAATTTCTTTGTGCATATACAAGCATTTATGAATCAGTATTCATACTTCTCTTCTTTTTACACAAAAGGTAATATGTACATTCTGAACTTTGCTTTTTCCAGTTAATAAAATAGCTTCGAGATCTTTCCATGTCAATACACAGAAAGAGATTTCATTCTGTTCTTACAGTTGCATAGTTTTCCATTTGTATATATGTGTCATGGTATATTTAACCACTCCCCTGTGTCTTCTATTATTACAAGTTTTTATTACTGTTACAAACAATGCTACAATGAGTGGAGATAGCTCCAATTGTTTATTTTTATTATATGTATTTAATAATTTTAAATTATGGCTAGGATATCACACCCAAGATAAAATATTTGAAGTTGGCATTGTGGGCAAGCTTTTCCAACTGTTTAGAATTTTAAATGTATCGATGAATCTTTTTTGCAATATATGCTTTTAAAAGTAGGAAGATAGTTCAAGATAACCTGTGTTCCTTGCCAGAACAAACTCAAATATATAAGAAAATTCAAATAATTGAAAATGATATTTCTTTCAGGTTGGTGAACTCTTGAAAGATTGGCGACGTCTTAATGTTGCTATAACCAGAGCCAAACATAAACTGATTCTCCTGGGATGTGTGCCCTCACTAAACCGCTATCCTCCTTTGGAGAAGCTACTTTATCATCTACACTCAGAAAAATTAATATCCTTTTTGTTTTGTATATGGTCACATTTGATTATGCTATTGTGAGTGGTTTATTTATGTATTTGTATAAATTAAAACTCAGTGTCTTGTGTTTTCCATGGGTATATTTCAAAGATCTGATTCTACAAAAAAAAGAAAACAATTCATGGGAAGTAATTTGAAGCAAAAAGTGAAATAATGAAGGTTATGGAGAAGGAAATAAAAGGGACTTGATCTGTTGCCCTAGGAACATGGTGCATGTTTGCTAGAACACATCTGGGAAAACTGGTTATCCCTCTGGTTCCTCTCACCCCAATTTATAACCTTCTTTAAAATCTAGGACAAAGCATTATATTAAAAAATGGAGAATTATTCCTTGTCATATTGTAGATTATTTTTTAAATCATCTTTTTAAAAACTTATATGCAGGGGGCCGGCCTTGTGGCGTAGCGGTTAAGTGTGTGCACTCCGCTGCTGGTGGCCTGGGTTCAGATTCCTGGTGGCACTGATGTACCGCTTGTCAGGCCATGCTGTGGCAGCGTCCCGTATAAAGTGGAGGAAGATGGGCACAGATGTTAGCCCAGGGCCAGTCTTCCTCACCAAAAAGGGGAGGATTGGCATGGATGTTAGCTCAGGGCTGATCTTCCTCACCAAAAGAAAAAAAAAAAACTTATTTGAAGGTCTTAGGGTAAGATATGTAAACCTCATTGCTTAAGTACATTATTATCCGTAGAATGCTATAAAAATCTTTATAAATTTTTTAGCAGTCCTTTAAACCAAATTACAAAGCATTAAATAATAATGTCATAAATGTTTTTGTGTAATTCCATATTGTGTTAAATACATCTTCCTTAATTTATTTTACATCATTGATCTTCCATCAGAAGAACATGAAAGTCTTTGTCATGTATTGGGTGATTTTCAAAGATAAAGCACTGATTTCCTTGCTTTTTTCATACTAGCATAGAGATCTCCTAGAATTATTTGTAATTTGGATATGCTGTAAAATCAGTGCCGGGTTAGACTGTGAAGATAACTTTTATTCCAAGGGTATGAAATGATGTACTCTGTTCAGAGTTCCAGATTTTTGTTCTATTTTTTGGGGTATAATTTTGTTAAATATAAAGTTCTATCACCATACAAAATTTAACACAGTATTTATTTTTTCACTACAGGTATACCCAAAACTGAAAAGTCTAAATTTATTGTTACTATAAATATGTTTTTGTGTAATCTAGAAAGAGTTTGATAAATTTTACCAGCTTTAAAGATGGATTAACTTTTGGATCTGAGGTTTAAACTTTTAAGTGTAAAATTTGAAGACTAATTTGATTTCGTAGATTTTTATCATATTTTATTTGAAAGATTAGGTAAAGAAAATTCATTTGCCTTTATTATTTAAGCACAGTCTTGTGATAATGAGAACATAGGTGTGATTCTTTTCTGTATTTTGAGGTCCCTGATCCAAAGGCCATTTTGCTGGTTTTTTCCCTTGACTTGTGCTTTCTTAGATATATTTTCACTTTAAACCTGGTCATTTAAATTATTACTTATAAATTGGTTATTTCCAATTAATTTCTGATTCCCCTTACTCTCCCATTTGTTTCTTTCGGTATTCAATATTCTAGAATAGATTTGATATAAAAGAAAATAATTCTTACTCTTTTTTTGAGCAGAAATTTTGTTTGCTGAATTGATGACAAAAAGGTATATCCCTGTTTTCACCTATTCAATTTCATATGCCTCTTTGTTTTGGGGGCATTACTCAAGTTTCCGTTTTTGTATAAAGATATTTTGTAAAACAGAATTACCTCAAAGTGCTTAATTATGTATATGATGACTGATTTTAACCTCAGCGTATCCATCTTCTGGGGAGAAATCTCTCATTTCTCTCAAAGTTTTTTTTTTTTTTTTTTTTAATGAATGTTAAATATGTTAAAATTGTTGCTTCTACCTCACATTTTTTAAAAAAAATTATTACTTGAAGTTTTTATTAAATAAATTGTTTTCTGCAGTTAGGTCTTACTGTGTCAATTATTAATACTATACAATAAGTTCAGGGTTGTCCAGCATTTTTTCCAGTAGTTACAAGTGAAGTGTTCATAATGCTCTAAAGCTGAAATCAAGGAATGTTGACATTATAAAGAGATTTACGAAGGACACACAGGATGGGTTGATCATGGAGAGACTATGGATCAAACAGGAAAAACTGGAAAGGTTGCTGAGATATTGGTTAGATATCATGGAGTTACATAACAGGAAGGAATCTAAGATAATTTCAGTTCCTGGGAGTGAGATGAATAAGAAAATTCTTTTGGTTTAGTCAGTGGTTGCTTCTTTACAGGTTTGTATGGCGTAAAGTAAAGCCCCAGGGATGAAGAACCTGAGGAGGAGTTCTGTGTTTCCTGTCATTTGGGAATCTCTTGGTTTCAAGATTCTAGGCACTTAGTCATTTGAGAGTTAGGACTCGTCTTTCATGTATAAGGTGCTGTGAGTTGGAGGCTTGGCGTGAGCCAGAAGTTAAACCCAGACTGGGCCCTCAAAGAGCTAATGGTGGGGTATAAGTATGATATCCATGCCAAGGACTAAGATAGCAGTGACTCCCAATCACTAATGTTACTGGGCACTCGCTTTGTGCAGTTCCACATCAAAAGCACCATTAGCCTAGACAAGGTCTTCCTTATGATGTACAGCCAGAATGTGATGACAGTGTAGCCATTTCCAGTGGCCCCATTCCTGAATCATTTCAGAGTTCCTGCCTCCTGACCTCTCCCTCTTGCTGCCTCCTCTGATTCTTTTCCTCCTTATCTCTCACTCTCTAAAGGCAGGTCTTCCCCAGAGCTTTATGTTTGGTCCAGCCCTCTTTCTCCTTGGACAGTCACTGGCTTCAACAATCACCTGTGTGGCTGTTTACCAAATCTATACCCCACCCTATATGTCTGCTAAGTTCTAGTTATAACTGCTCTAGCTCATGCCTTCAGAATCTTCTATGATGGACCCAGAGGATGGTCTGTCTGTCTTGTCTGTCAGCTCTTGTATGGATATTACTTTGGCACATAATGAAAGATTTTTACATTTATTTGTTTTTTGGACTTGAGCTTACTTTTTATGATGAGCTTTAAAAAATTATTGTAAAGCCTTTCAAACATACACAAAAGTAGAATAGTACAGTGAACTATATATTTATCACTGGTATTCATTAGTTAGAAGATTTTGCTGCAGTTGTTTTCAACATCCTTTTTTCTTTGCTGAGATGTTTTAAAGCAAATTCTAGACATCATTTCATTTCACCCCATACTTCAGTATGTGATGAGCTTTTTTTTTTTTCTTGTGAGGAAGATCAGCCCTGAGCTGACATCCATGCTAATCCTCCTCTTTTTGCTGAGGAAGACTGGCTCTGAGCTAACATCTGTGCCCATCTTCCTCCTTTTTTTCCCCCAAAGCCCCAGTAGATAGTTGTATGTCATAGCTGCACATCCTTCTAGTTGCTGTACGTGGGTTGCGGCCTCAGCATGGCCAGAGAAACGGTGCGTCGGTGCGCGCCCGGGATCCGAACCCGTGCCGCCAGTAGCAGAGCGCAAGCACTTAACCGCTAAGCCACAGAGCACGCCCTGTGATGATGAGCTTTTTAAAAATAGTATTTTTGTTACATAACGATATTAGTAAGCTTAAAAACCTCGATTCTTAGCTTTAATATATCAAGGAGTCAAAACAGATTAATATTCTACTTTATTAATTGTAGTTTAAACATACACACTAAATTCCAATTCTGTTGAACCCAAGGGGACTAGAGTATCCAGCAAATGCGTACTCTGGAGCTTAAGAATATCTGCCTCAAAGGGAGAAATGTTTTTTGCTTTAGATCAAGTCTGTCTGTTGCTGAATTAAATTTCTTTCCTACTTGTTACCCATAAAGTTCCTGGGGGAAAAGCAATCTAGGAAATAAAGCTCTTTTCCTTTGTTCTCATGGTTCTGTAAAATAAGTATATACTTAATTTTATTTGCTTTTCTAAATGCACTTAGACTACAAACCCCTCCTTTTTTACCCATCATTTGGAAGGAGAAAAATGAAGTCAGTTGTATTTCAATGTTTAACAGCAAGATAGTAGAAACGGTTAGACTTGTCATGAGTTTTAGACTCCTTGAAGCACTAAAAACCTCAGATATATTTGGAGATTATGAAAATGGAAGCTACTTTTGTACTGGTTCAAATTCTGGCTCTGTCACTTAATAGTTCTGTGACTTTGGGCAAGTTATTTAGCCTTTCTGAAATTAGTTTCATCTGCAAAATGAAGATAATTCCTTCCTCATGGGGTGGTTTTGAAAATCAAATGAGGGCCGGCCCTGTGGCTTAGCGGTTAAGCGCGGGCGCTCCTCTGCTGGCGGCCTGGGTTCAGGTCCCAGGCGCGCACCGACGCACTGCTTCTCCGGCTGTGCTGGGGCTGTGTCCCATGTGCAGCGGCTGGAGGGATGTGCAGCTATGGCCTACAGCTATCTGCTGAGGCTTTGGGGGAAAAATAAATAAATTTTTAAAAAAATGTTGAAAATCAAATGAGACTTTGGCCTAGGAACTGACGTGCATATACATGCTCATTGATACAAGAGGGATCATGGAAGATCAATGGTGAAAGGACAGTGGGATAGTTGGCTTTACATATGGAAAAAATGAAATTTGACCCTATCTCGAGCCATTCACTAAAATCAATTCTGGGTGCAATAACAGGCCTAAATATGAAACGCAAACCTAGGTAACTCTTAAAAGAGTGTATTTTCATCACCTTCACGTAGAGAGGATTTCTTAAACAACACACTAAAGCATACACCATAAATCAACTACAAGAAAATTAAGAACTTATATTTATCAAAGGTGTCCATAAAGAGAGAAAATATTAGCCAGAAGATATTAGCAACACATAACCAACACCAAACTAGTATGTAGAATATTAAGTAAATTGTACAAGCCAATAAGAAAAAGATAAGTCAATAGGAAAATAGGCTAAAAACTTGAACAGTTTCTTTGCAAAAGAAACTCCAAATAGTAAACATGGGGAAAGTGCTCAATGTCATCATAAAGAGATAAATACAAAATAAACCCACTATACAATGGCCTACTGACAAGGTTGGCAAAAAAATGAAGAAATTCTCACAATTCCAAGCATCAGAATGGACATGGAGCAACAGAAAAACTACACTGCTGCTAAGAGCATAAATTTTGAGAAGAGTTTTGAAAACAGTTTGGAATTATCTAGTAAATTTAAAGAAAGGCATACTTGATTTTCAATAATTCTATTCTTAATTTCATGTCCTGGAGACTCTTGTGCATAGGCACCAGGATGTATGTACAACTTGGAAACACCCCAACCTGGAAACTCCTCATGGTTATGGATGATGATGAGCACAAGACAAGGAACAAAATTCACAGTGTTATTTCATTTGTGAAAAGTTTATAAACAGGCAAAAGTAAACTACACTGTTTAGGGGCACATACTTGCATGGTAGTAACATACAGAAAAGCAACGAAACAATTCTCATAAAAGAACAGTATTTACCTCAAGGCGGAGTGTGAGTGGTGGCTAGGGACATTTCCTGTGGAGGATGGCTCTGTCCTATGCTCTGTTGATCTGGTGGTAGTTACCCAGCTGTTCAATATAATGATTCTTTAAACTGTATATATATTTTATACATTTTTATCCATGTTTGATTATCTCACAATAAAGAAAATTAAAAACCAAAAGAAGTAAAGAAACATCATAGAGTTTTATCCTGACCAAAGTAAAGAAGAGAAAAACAACTGCCCCATTTTCACGAAATATCTTGGTCTATTTCTAGCTCAGTCATCATCTTAATTGCTGATCTAATTAGGTAATAGCTCATTTTCCCAAACTGATATAACTTAAACCTAGTGTCATCTGACCCTGAGGGTTTTTTTCCTCCCTGAAATGAGAAAATGCTAGCTTTATCTCTATACCTTTTTCTCTTGATTAGTGAGACTGTTCCTCATTGCTCTTTATAAACTAGTGTATTTAGTTACTGGTTTAAGCGTCGTGATTTGGGCTGTCTAAATAGTTTCAGTAGATTTCTGCCTACTGTAATTGGTTCAGATTTTCTAAATTCTTTTGGTCCCCTACGAGCTTGGGAAGATGATAGGAAAGCGGTCAGGTGTGTTAGATTAAATCCAGCCAGCCCCTGTGGATGAAGAGGTTTGCACGTGACTCGCACCCCCTTGGAAATGCAGGCTTAGGCTCAGGCGAAGCCCCCAGGGGTGAGAGACCAGTGGTCCCACTACGGTCCGGCCCTCTTGCTCCTCACACCCGAGGTCTCCGTCCCGCTCCTTTTCCTTCTCCTTGCGGTCGGGCTGGACCCGAAGAGGCTTAGAAAGGGCGGGTTTCTCGACAGCAGGCTGCAGGCTCCTCGGCCCCGCGCCCGATTGGCGGCGCCGCCGCACCGCGCGGGTGTCCTCCCGCCGCCGGGAGCGCTGTGGGCCGCAGCGGGCCCCGTCGCTGACGCCGTGGCGGCCGCCGCGCGCCTGAAGGGAGCTGCTGGCAGGGCCCAGGGAGTCCCCGCCCGAGACCGCGCCGCCGCCGCCATGGGTAAGGGGAGCGGGCCGAGAGCGGACGCCGAGCCCCCCGTCCTGGGCTGAAGGCCGCGGCCGGGCGCGGAGGACTGGTGGTGGTGGGCGACGAGGCCACCGGGTCGGAACTGGGGCCTGAAGCTGGGCCTGGGCGGGGGCAGTCCGGGACTCCGGGGCGCCGGGGGTCGCCATGGTAACGCGCTGCCGCCCCTCGTTCCCTCCCGCCCCACTTGGGTTCTGGGACTTGATGGCCGAGGGCTCGCGGGCCGCCGGCGTCCAGGGAGCGAGGACGGGGCCGGCCGGGGTGCCGCTCCCGGGCCGGGGGAACAGTCGGGGACGGGCGATGACTTTTCAGGCTTGGGGATGGCGGAGGGAAGAAGCGTCTCAGGTTTTGGCCTGGGTGCCCGACGCCGAGGGCGGGAGAGGGGCAGCGATGTCGCGCAGGACGCCGGGTGAGCCTTTCGCGAGGGTCGTGGGGCGCCCCGAGCCCTTTGGGCAGCCTCGCTGCGGGGAGGAAGGGAGGCAGAGAAGGGGCTCTGGGCCCGGGGAAGATGCGGGGACTGGCCCGGGCCCGGTGTGGGGGCCGCGGCTCGGCAGCACACACCCGCGAGCCCGGGCGGGGCGCGGCCGGGGTGTAAACGCTCCTCCGCGAGCGAGCCGCCGGCGCCCGGCGCTGACCTGCCGCGGAGCAGCTGCAAAAGCGCCCTTTGTCTGCTTGTCGCATCGCACGTTGTGGATTGTGATGGACACTTAACGAAAAATGAGAATTGCCACAGATTATGAAATATCAAGTGGTTTCGCCCCCCAAAAAAGAGGGAATCATTCCACGATGCAGATTTGAGGGAATGATGTGTGTGGAGATTTTCCACCGGCTAGCTTGGTCATAGCAGTTGTGGTTGTTTGCGTTGTAAGTTGCTTAGGATTCAGTGTCAGGCTCCACGCCTGGCTATCTGAGATCAGAACTAGAATACTAGATCATTGAGAACCCTGGACTTTGTTCAGTGAAGGAAAACAGACACTTGGTTTACGTGGACTAGTCAATTGGTCAGAGATTATGAAATGTTATAATAGGTGCTTCATTTTTCTGCACTTCATTTTGTCATCTGTGTTTGCTGAAAATATTCCTGCCAGTCACAACAGTGATGAGAGTATGGGGAAGCATCTGAATTTTTAAGTAAACTGAGAGTAAAATTTGTGGGAAGGAAAAAATTATTTTTGTGAATTGAAAATATAATTAAAAATCAGTTTTTTAAAAAATGCGTCTATTAACTTGGTATTCGGCTGAGTCAGCTGTGTGGAAGGGCAGGGAACTTTAATATGAAACTCGCTCTTTTATTTCCTCTGAGAAAATAAAGGAGTCATGCAATGCAAAACTACAGTTGCAATGAAAAAGAGGGTTAAAATGAGTGAAAGAATTGAATGACTTCTCCTGTATCCTCTTATTTATCAGTGTGTTTTTATTTACCTGTCATGTTTGTTATGGGCAATACTAGAATCTTAGAATTTTAACTACTGTTTATTTTATTGCCAGTTTATTCTGAACATTTTTTGCCTTGGAATTCATCCCTGGACTGTTCCTGCTATCCACCTATGCATGAGAGCGTTAAACATGTCGTCTGTTACTCCAAACTAATCTCCACAGAAAGTCATTAAAAAAAAAAACTAATTTTCCTGGAAGAGGTACCACGAAAGTAAAATAGATACCAGAGAATAGCCCATTTGAGGGATCCTGAGAATAATTCATAAACTTTGGCTAGAGTGGGCATGGTAGATGTTCTATGGTATGTGTGAGAGAGACATAAAGAGAAGTTATCTAAAGGTGTAGGTTAGTTAGGAAGACCAATTTGTCCACTAAGGAAAAACAAACCACTGTTGGTTTTATAGGGGAAGGAAAGGGTTTGTGTATTTTTCAATGTCATGTCTTGCAAATGACGTTGGACTCCTTTCTTGTGCTTTCAGCTACAAAAGACCCCACAGCTGTAGAGAGAGCAAACTTGTTAAACATGGCTAAACTGAGTATCAAAGGACTCATTGAATCTGCTCTAAGCTTTGGCCGCACTTTGGATTCTGACTATCCCCCCTTGCAGCAGTTCTTTGTTGTTATGGAACATTGTCTGAAACACGGTCTTAAAGGTATCATGAGATTTTTAAAAATTAACTTGAGAATCCCTCCCCTTCCATCTGAAACATCCTTAAAAGTGTATTTTTTTTGAGGCCATAATTACTGTTACTTTATATTTAAAAGTACTGGGTAGGTTGGTTTGGGGAGAAAATATCCTACTTTATGTTTTGTGATGGGTGGTCTTCAGAAAATGCTTAGTTGTTAGTGTTTTGTGTAAAAAGCATATTTGATTTTTAGATTTTTTCAGCATGCTCTGAACTAGTTTCCGTTTTCTGGGACAATTATAGAGTTATTTTTAAAATTTTAAGCTTGATTCTGATGTGAACTCTTATTACTAGTTTGAGCCCTATTGAATAAATACATTAAAATAGTTGGTTGTTGAAATATAAACCTCCTTAGCGCACGGGAACATACCTAGAAAAATGGTCTTCTGGATTGAGTTGTGGAAATGTGAGCGCTCCCTGAAAATGATTATAATGGTGGATATTGTATTCTTCTATACAGTTAATACTGAATTATTGTTTTGTGCAAAAGTTTGTATTATATTTAGTTACTTAATATACATTGTGTAATAACTTCTTTTACATACAATAATAACTACTTATAACAGTTGTTGGCAGTTTTGTTTCTAATTCGTATGATTAGCAGCTGCGTAGAGGGCTATGTGAGTAAGAGTTGTATACTAAGGTGGTTATTATTGAAGAAAAAGAAGCTCGGTTTCTCGTTGGTATACTAGGAGCCTGGGTAAATTGGGAAGGCCTAGAAGTTCTGACTATGGTGTATGAAAGTGTGGGGGGTAAATGTAAAAAGCAAAAGAAGAGATTTACCTAACATGGTTTTAATAAAATGTACTTCAAACCGAGAAGGAGCGTTGGCATCAAAATTTTAGAAACTCTGTGTGATGTTATTAATGTACTCATTTCTTTTTCTTTTTTTATTTAAAAAATTTCATTTATTTTTATTAAGATATAATTGACATGTAACATTATATTAGTTTCAGTTGTACAACATAACGATGCGATATTTTTATATATAGCAAAATGATCACTACAAGTTAATTAACATCTGTCACTATACATATTTACAATTTTTTTCTTTTTTTGTTTTTTGTTTTTGTTTTTGTGAGGAAGATCGGCCCTGAGCTAACATCTGCCAATCCTCCTCTTTTTGCTGGGGAAGACTGGTCCTGGGCTAACATCCATGCCCATTTTCCTCTACTTTATATGGGACGCCGCCACAGCATGGCTTGACAAGCAGTGCATCGGTGCGCACCCGGGATCCAAACCTGCGAACCTCAGGCCGCCACAGTGGAGCGCACACTTAACCTGCACGCACTTAACCGCTTGCGCCACTGGGCCTGCCCCTACAATTTTTTCTAATGATGAGAACTTTTAAGATCTACTCTCTTAGCAACTTTCAAACATACAATACAGTATTAACTACAGTCATCATGCTGTACATTACATCCCCCACGACTTATTTATTTTATAACTAGAAGTTTGTACAAAACTTTTGACCTTCACCCATTTCATCCACCCCCACCCTCCACCTCTGGCAACCACCAGTCTGTTCTCTGTATCTATGAATTTGTTTTTGTTTTTGTTTTTAGATTCCACTTTGTCTTTAATGACAAAATAATTTTTAAAAATTATATAAATAGTAGTGAAATATGCTCTTTTTGTATGTGAATCAAACAACATAGAAGCACATAGAGCAAAAGATGATTTTCTCCTTATTCTCTTCCATTCGTCTCCCTAAAGGAAATCCTTGTCATTCTTCTAGTTCTTTTTTGTTTTTGTTTTTTTTCCCCTTTTACTCTAAATAGAATTACACTATTAAGTATTATTCTGTGACTTTTTCTTTTCAAAAAAGCTTGATGGTATGGTTTGGAGATCTTTCCATTTACATAGAGGTCTATCACATTTTTAATGGCTATATAATATTTCATAGTATATGTATACCATAACTTATGTAACTCTTCTCTTAATGTACACTTAGGTTGTTTCCAATTTTTTACTATTATAATTGTGCTGTAAGAATGTCTTTGGGTATATATGTTTGTGTACATGTGCTAGGAGTTCTTTAGGATTTCTAGGAGTAAAATGACTGGGTCAAAGGATATAGGCAACTGGCATCTATGAAGGCTTCACTGATTTATCAAACAACAGTGAATGTGAGTGTTTGGCTGCCAGATTTTTGCCTACTCTTGATGTTATCAGTCTCTAAGTAACTTCTTTTAATACATCGGGAAGTCACCAGTATGATCTCAGGCCTCGAGTTTTAATTTGCTTTTTGAAAAACTTCCTTTTATTTTTAACAAATAGCAGTGACATAGATCTTTATTTTCCCCCAGCCTACTGAAATGGAATTTGCCAAATGATGGCCAAAATAATTAAATTTTAAACTCTTTTCTGAATTTATTTTTCTTTACTTCACAAAATATCGAGGCATGTCCTAACAATCACTGCTTATCTTTTTTTTTTTTTAATTTTATTTATTTCTTTATTTTCCGCCCAAAGCCCCAGTAGATAGTTGTATGTCATAGTTGCACATCCTTCTAGTTGCTGTATGTGGGACGCGGCCTCAGCGTGGCCAGAGAAGCAGTGCGTAAGTGCGCACCCGGGATCCGAACCCGGGCTGCCAGCAGCAGAGCGCATGCACTTAACCACTAAGCCACGGGGCCGGCCTAATCATTGCTTATCTTGATGAATCATTAAAAGTTACTTTTTGCTGATTGATTTTTCTCCCCTAAGGAAAAATTGTCTATCTTGGTGATTGTCCTTGGGTGGTGCATATGATAGGCACACTGGATCTGCAGGAGATCTGGTCAGTATTAAGAAAGAATCATCTAGTGATTTCATGCTTTTACATTACCCAAATCTCAGAATAAAATAAAAGGAAAAGTAAAGTTACAATTTTTCATGTTTAAAAGTAAAATAACTTTTTATTTGTCCTTGGTTTGTTTAATAAACTGATAAAGATCAAGCTGCTAGGGCCACCAGCCTTTTTATTTTTGTACTGGTAAAGAATGAGCTCAGTTGTTTTTTATTTTAATTACCTGCCTGCATATTTCTGATACGGAAGAATGACCAAGATGCATATTTCTGATAGGAAAAATATCAGAATTCTGATGAACAGGCTCTTGATCAACAGGGTGGTGTTGTGATAAGAGAGCAGAGGTCTCCAAATAATTGTATATTAAGTAAGAAATGTTGAAACTAAGTATTTAAAAGGAAGTTGCTACAATTTTATATATTGAAGTTGTATGCATTACATTTTCTTTTTTTCAGTAAGAAAATCATTTTTGAGTTATAACAAAACTATCTGGGGCCCTTTGGAACTGGTGGAGAAGCTGTACCCAGAAGCAGAGGAGATAGGAGCCAGTGTCCGGGATTTACCTGGTCTTAAGTGAGTAATCTTATTACTTGTTCATCCCTAACCACAGAAGTGTGTTTACTCTTCCTTAAAAGTACCTCACACTGTAGTTTATCTTCTCTCAGCCTTAAGTAGCCTTCTTCCATTCTCTCCTAATAAAATTCTGTTTGTTCTTTATGGCTCAGCTCAATTTCATTTTCTTCATGAAGTTTTTCTTAGCCCCTTCTAAGAATTAATTGCTCTTTCTTTTATACTCTTATCACTATATTCACTCCTTTTTATATCAGTTACTTCAATTCTGCATTGTATTGTAGGAAATTGCAAGTCCTTTTAAGATAGGGTGTATCAATTATGCATTTCTGTTTTCTGAGTGTTATCAGTTATGTAGTTCTGTTTTCTAAGTGTTACCCTAGTTTGCAGTAGTAGGCAGTAGGAGTCAGTAACTATTAAAGACCAATTTAGGCTAAATTCAGGGCAAGGGCTCAAGAGATCTGAGTTCTCAGATAAGCCATTTGTATGTCATAGGACTTGTGCAGATTACTTTTCTTCCTCTGAAAATTGGGACCTATAGTGTCACCTGCCTGTTTCAATAGACAAATTTGTATGAAATGTCTTAAAAGCTGAATATTCTAGCTAATAACTGTTGAATATTTTTGGCAGGTATAAAGTGTTGTTAAGGCTAAGTTCTTATGTTCTTCAGGGTATGATTAAGATGTTAAGAACTCCCTTTAGTTTATCTTAATTCTTGTGAATGAGATAACTTTTTTTAAGCTTAGCATTTTCTGTTGGATTATCAGTTTGCTTTCTCTTAGACAGCTTTACAATTTAGGGTTTTATATGTTGTAGGGAATATGGTGGTGTTTTCTGGCTGTTATCACAACATCCAGATGTTTGCAAGTCTACTATTTATTGAGCACTGTATCAGGGTAATAATTCTTTTACATGAATTATCTCATTTAGTACTTAAATCAATCTTATAGAGTAGAGATGATTATTATAATAATTGTATAGATGTGAAAAATAAAGATCAGAGAAGTTGTAGTTAATAAGTGGCAGAGCCAGGATTCAAACTCAGTTTTTAGAGTTAAATAGCCAGTGATGCTCACACTTGATGTTTCTTAGAATGGTATATTAGGTGTAGTGATTTTTAACAAAGACAGACAGAAAAGGGAATTTCCACTCTCAAAAAGAGAAATAAAAGATTTGGTTTCATTTTAATATGAAAGTACATGTTCATATTGTTTTTAAAAAGCCAAATTCTACAAAGTAAAAAATGTTTTCTGAAGAATAGTAGTCATTAAAATGCTAAGCCATAAGAAACTCATTAGGTGTTAGAAGTGAAGATTGTTTCCTCCCACACCACCTGCCAAAATGTTCTCTGCAATAGAAAATGTAAAAGTGTGAATGATATCTTTCTCTTTAAAAAATTGTACATATTCTGTAAAACTTGTTTTTATTTTTGCTAAATAATAGAACTTGGATGAGAGAGGTATGAGATTTAATTTTTTAAGGACAAGTGGATAAAAGAAACTTGTGAAAAATAGCAAGCAGCCCTGTGATTTCTATCTAATTAATCACCAGCTTGGTACCTTCTTAGCTTTGTTATGATTTTTTAAATTCAGATATAACGGCAGTTATTTTTTGAAGGCATTATACTGCCTTATTGATGCATTTTACATATTCATTTTTGGAGGGCTAAGCCCATCCTGACAAAATGTTTCTTGTAGAAATATCCTCACTGTTTAGAGAGTCATTTCTTCCAAGGCATAAAATATCTAGATGTCCTACAGGCGCACATAGACTTAAACGGCTCCCAGGGATTAGTTTTGCATGCTCAAAGAGCTGGCCTAACACTATAGAAACGAAGACAAAATCATGATTAATTGCCTTTTTTCTTTATTAATGTGTACCTCAACAGAGATAGAACATGTCGTCTATAATAATCTTTGGGCTGGGGCTGTTTTCTGACCAATTGATTTTGCTTTTTAGGACCCCCCTGGGTCGTGCAAGGGCATGGCTTCGATTAGCCCTCATGCAAAAAAAAATGGCTGATTACCTGCGTTGCTTAATTATTCAAAGAGATCTCTTGAGGTTTGTACCATTAAATCATGTTCATTTTCATTTTTTATTTCATTTATATCCTGTCTTCCAAAAAAGATTGAAGATGTGGTACAAAAGGATACATAAAATACAATAAGACGGCAAAAATAAAAGGAGGAGCAGAATTAGAGAGAAAATCATAGTGGGGACAACATGGATTAGGAACTAGCCTAAAAATGAATACCATAAGCTTTTTATCGGCCCATAAGGGAGAAATTTGTATGTTATATTTCTGAGTTTCATTTTTTCCTAAATTAATTCTATGAATAAAAATTTGTACTGGAACTTAGAGTTTGATAATTCAAGAGGTTTCTTTTTAGATCTTGAATGTCCAAACTACTACGTCAACTGTATTGTGAGCACTTTTTAAACTGTCAGTTTAAATAGAAGGACGAATGTTTAAGACAGACTTTCAAAGCAAGGTAGTCAGTTCTCAAAGGGAGTGGGCCTATGGCAGCCCCTCCATTCGCCCTTCTTCTCTTAGAGTGCCTCTGATGTTCTGCAGAATTTGATCATTTTTGTTTTTACTTGTGACTCTGGTTGTACATCTTGGTTTTTCCATTTTTAAATGAGAATGACCATACTTTTAACACCTGCAATTTCTCAGTATTCTGAAGGTTAATTAAAGTGAGTAAATAATATGCATGGGACTTCTTGAGGAAGACATGAGACAGTGATAACTTGGTCTCTGAATGTATCTCTGACAATGTAAATTGTCAAGTCTTAGTTTTTAGACTGTCCAGTTTCTTTCACAAATCTCTTCTTTGAACATTTTTAGAATATAGATATCCACATGTATCTTTAATTAATGATTATCTATTAAGAACACTTGCAATACGCATATCAAATGCATTGACTTGAACATGGGTTTTGAAATGCTTTGTGTTCATTTCCCCACCTTAGTCTTTTTTTTTTTTTTTAATTTTATTTATTTGTTTTTTCCCCCAAAGCCCCAGTAGATAATTGTATGTCATAGATGTACATCCTTCTAGTTGCTGTATGTGGGACGCGGCCTCAGCATGGCCGGAGAAGCGGTGCATCGATGCGCGCCCGGGATCCGAACCCGGGCCGCCAGCAGCGGAGTGCGCACACTCAACCGCTAAGCCACGGGGCCGGCCCTCCCCACCTTAGTCTTTATTCCAAGGGTCTTAGTAAAGCCCAGGATTGAAAATTCAACACTAATAAAAATATTGTAGTCAGATCAGCAACAGTCACTACATCTTCTGACAGTCACAACCATTCCAGGCCTCAGTGATCCTCTTTTTTCTTTTGATCTCTCTTTGCTTCTCTTTTCTCTCTCAAGATTCCTTTTCCTCTTTTATCTCCTTCAGTCTCTTTCTTTTTACATTTTCTGTATAGACATTTAAATTTCAAAATTTTTAAGTTATTCACATATAGAAAAGCTAATTTGAAGATACCTAATTTATATTGATTCCATGTTTGTAATAAGGTGCTGAGATTTTAAATTTTAATTTTTGAAGTAAATTTGTGATTTAAGGTTTTTATTTTAATTTTCACAGTGAATTCTATGAGTATCATGCACTAATGATGGAAGAAGAAGGAGCAGTAATTGTTGGGCTGCTGGTTGGCCTGAATGTGATAGATGCTAATCTGTGTGTAAAGGGAGAGGATTTAGACTCACAAGTAAGTGAAGTGTCGAGGACCAAATGCAGAGTGTTTTCAATTTGCACTGTTCCTCCTTGATCCAGGTATTACTCTTAAGTTGTGAACAGTGGTGTTAAACAGTAGAGAAAAATTAAGAATGAAATTCACTTGCATGTTAAAGGTATTTCTAATATTTCTCCCCTTTAAATAAAAATAACTTTATTTAATTCAGGTTGGAGTGATTGATTTTTCCATGTATTTAAAGAATGAAGAAGAAATTGGAAATAAAGAAAGGTATGATTTTCATAAGTTGTTTCAGTTATATTTTTTATCTAACTCTTTACAAATCAGTATGAGGTCCATCTATTTACAATAGCTTTTATGTGGTTTTTATTTCCTTTTCTTGTGTGTAGTTCCTGCTTGTTTCATTTTCACTTCCATTTGCAAGCTTTTCAAAGCAAAAATCCATTAGAAGAAGGAGGCCTTAGTATGAATATGACTTTTGGTCATACCTTTAGTCCTGAGACTCATTTTAATGGTCAGCTGTGTTTTGTGATAAAAGGAATGAAAGCTTATTATTCAAAACCTTACAAATGCTGGTTTATTTCTAGATCTTATTGTATTTAAATTTAAAATATATTTATTCCAACTAAAACGAAAGGATAATTGTGATGTGATAGAGGTGCTAATTATTGCTACAATGGCAATCATATCACAATATATAAATGTATCAAATTTTGTACACCTTAAATTTATGCAATGTTATATGTCAAATATATTTCAATAAAAAGAATCATACTGATACAAAAAATTTTTTAAAAATATACTAACGGTATTGTTAAGTCTAATATTAGCATGTAATTTAATTAACAAAGGTTTAGTTATTTAGTACACAGCTTACTGCTTCATGATTATAAAGATTCTTGAATTTTATTTTAAAGGCAAGATAATGTTGTTTTATCATTATGATTTTACAACAATTTTAGATGATTTAGAAGGTTTTTTTTGTTCTGGCACCCAATACATACCTTTCCAACTAGCACAAAGCTACTTTTCCCCCTCTCTAGGAATGTTCAAATTGCTGCCATATTAGACCAGAAGAATTATGTTGAAGAATTAAATAGACAACTGAAGTAAGTATTATGGAAACTTGGATACTTAGTACATTTATGACTATTGTCTTAGGTATTTTTTTTTTCCTCTTCAGGTCAGCTTAACCCTATTTCTTTTTTCTGAGCATCTTTGAGAAGGGTTGAGAGGGTAGAGAGAGAATAGTAATTAAGAATACAGAGAATTATTGGAGATAATTTATTTTCAGCAGAAAACGAGAGTCAGATTTTTAAATTGAATCTTCAGAGAATTTAAAAACAGTGTTTCAAACTTATCCTTGTACTCTTGAGGAAAAAGATTAGATAGGGTGGAAGTTTATGTCATTTTGATGATTCAAAAATTCATTTTTCCTGCTTCAAAGGGCTTCATGTGTAATTGTGGCTGTCTTCTATGGTGGAAGTTTTCTCCTTACAGTGTCACCCAGTCGTTGAAGCTGTCAGTGACTACTCTATCTGGGAAGAATTTCTGAGATCTGTATGTAAAATGGTATAGTGCAGTTCTGTCTGATAGAAATATGTGAGCCACATAGGTAATTTAAAATTTTAGTAACCACGTGAAAAAGGTAAAAAAGAAACAGATGAAATTAATTTAAAAATATACTTCATTTAACCCAATATACTGAAAATATCATTTTAACATGTAATCAATATAAAAATTATTAATGAGATATTTTATATTCTTTTTTTTTTTTTGTACTGTCTTCAAAGTCCAATGTGTGTTTTACACTTAACAGCACATTTCAATTTGGACTGGCCACATTGTAAACACTTATTAGTGGCCACATGTGACTTGTGGCTACCATACTAGATAGCACAGGTGTAGTGAGTAATATTTGCTACATAGTTAGAAATGGACTGTTCTCATTAATTAAGATGAATAGGTAGCAAAAATGGCTCTCTCTTGGTAATGGGATTATGAATAATTTTTTGTTTTCTTTATACTTTTCTGTGTTTTCTGAGTTTCACTCAATAAAAATTTATTACAGTCAGAAAATACAATTAAACATTTTCCCGTTTTAGAAAAAGAATAAGCCATAACTCCTGCTTTCCCTCTCAAGTTGGAGAGATAAGAAAGATGTTATCGGTGTCTTTTTTTTTTAATCACGGAGTTTTAGTAATAGATTTCATAGGAAATGTATGTGTATATATGTATATTTTGTAATTTGTATTTCTGAGATTGTATTTCTAAATGCAACCTTGTATTGCTTATTTACTTACTTTTAAACTTTTGTTCACTTTTGGGGAACAGGTAATATATTCACATGGTTGAACTTCAAAAGGAACATAAAATAAAAAGTCTCCCTCCCTGATCTCCAGCCTTCTGGTTTCCTTCTTCGGGAGTAATTAATATACTAGGTTCTTGTGTATGCCTCCAGAGATACTTTATGCAAATAAACAAGAATGTGCATTATATTCTTATATTTCTCATCTTCTCCCCAGTTTTTTTACACATAAAGTAGCATACTTCTTACACTATTCTGAACTTTACTGTTTTTACTCAACAGTTTATTTTATTTTATTTTATTTTATTTTATTTTTTATTTTTTATAATTTTTATTTATTTATTTCCCCCAAAGCCCCAGTAGATAGTTATATGTCATAGTTGCACATCCTTCTAGTTGCTGTATGTGGGACGCGGCCTCAGCATGGCTGGAGAAGTGGTGCGTCGGTGCGCGCCCGGGATCCGAACCCGGGCCGCCAGCAGCAGAGCGCGCGCACTTAACCGCTAAGCCACGGGGCCGGCCCCTCAACAGTTTATTTTAGAGTCTATTCTATTCGGTTCAAAAGAGCATTCTTATTCTCTTTTAAATTTTATGTATTAATCAGTTACAGCAATACTAGTGCCTTACTTTTGTATATTTTATGTATTAAAAATGTTTCATTGTTATTCTAATTAGAAATTAGTTCTTGTACATTTAGAATATTTCACAAGTAGAAAACAGATATAGAAAAAATAGAACTCACCTATTGTCTTCTATGTAAAACCACTGTTGAGGGGCCGGCCCAGTGGCGTAGCAGTTAACTGCACATGCTCTGCTTCAGTGGCCCAGGGTTCGGGGGTTCGGATCCCGCGCACGCACCAATGCACCACTTGACAAACCATACTGTGGTGGTGTCCCATATAAAGTAGAGGAAGATGGGCACAGATGTTAGCCCAGGGCCAATCTTCCTCAGCAAAAAGAGGAAGATTGGCATAGGATGTTAGCTCAGAGCTAGTCTTCCTCACAAAAACAAAACAAAACAAAACAAAAACCACTGTTGGGTGTTTATTGTTTTCAAAACTTTTTTGGTTATTATTTTATTGATTCCTGCATAAAGGTAGGGCAAATATTGTTGTCTCATTTTATAGATAAGGAAACTGAAGCTCAGAACGGTTTTACCACTTTCAAGGTGACACAGAAAGTAGAAAAGCAGGAACTATAACCTTGGTCTTCCATCTCCAAGTCCTGTACTTGTTATATCTCACCATCAAGATACCCTGGTGCTGTTGGTGAAACACTCAAGTTGTTTACCTGAGAATGATTATATTTAGAAAATGATTTAATATGAATGGAAAAACATTTTTCTTGTTTCACCAGTTAAGCTAAAATGCCAGTCTTGTTTCTGAGGCTGGTGTAAAATTTGTTGACTCTATTATAGAATTTACTGTAATGTATACAGCATATTACATTTTGTTAGAGAAAGTTTGAGATGATAGAATCAAGCACCCTTGAAAAACCGACTCAATAAAATGTACAATGATGTCTAATATTGATCAGTTTAAACAAAAATGCAAAAAGCAAGTGTGTTTATGTGGTGTAAACTGACTTTTGACTATATCCTTGAAAGATGAAGTGTTTGCTTAGCTGCAGGCTGACTGAGTACCTGATGTTGGGTATCTCATATTCACATTTCTCAAACCATGGGTGACTTTGGAGGTTTTTAAGTTACTATGAAAGTGGACAGGGGAAACAGGAACGGGGTTGTGTTGAAGACTACTGTTTGTAAGCCTCATTAAGCCACTTAATTTTTTTTTTTTTTTT